CTAATTATAGACAAGTATATTCTGCTGGGAGCCATGCTACTCAAACTGTGTAGCAAAGCTCAGGCTGGAGGAAGACCCCCACAAATCAGGGGCCTTCGCAGCTGGCTCCCTCTATTACCCACCTTGATTTTGTTATTTTCCATTATACTATTAGCTTTGTTTTTACTTGCATTGTTGCCAAAGACTAAGCTAACCTTTGCTAAGCAGCACGGAAAAGATGAGAACATACACTTCCCAAAAGCTTTTCAGGACAGTGCTCCTGAAAAATAGAACACACAGGGGCCAAATGGCGATCTTAGCATAAAGTACTGAAACCTGCTGTTAGTTAGTCAAACATTGACCACCCCATTTCCACTGAGAATGCCCCCCTTGTTTACAATGCTAGTGAAACTAGTGATGGAAAGTTTTATAGAAATAGTCATGAGAAAATATTGAATAGAATAACCCTGTTGACACTTAATTAATCATCTCATGTTTTCTTCCCTCTACTACTTCTATAGTTTGTTTTTCTTCTTTCCTAATCACAGCCCTTTACTAGAATTTGTGCCTCATATGTGAAATTACCAAGTACCATAATTTTCCAGGAAGTAAAGATACCTCAAAACAAGTGCTGGGCATAGAAGCCATGGAGCATAAATCTGNACAGGCACAGTCGCAGGGGGACCATCAGGTGAGAAAAAGGGGGCCAACAGAGGTGAGGCTTAGAACCTCACCCCCCCTCCCAGTTTTGAGAGAAATCTTCTACACCTGTGGATGTTTTGTTGCCCTTATTCAGCTTGGATTAAGACCTGGTCTGTAGGCACAAACCTGATCATCTACACCTGCCTTCTTATAGTTCTAAATCATGCTTTGTATCTATATCTTGCATTTACCTACATTAACATTTTATTAGATTCACATATAAAGTATAAAAATCAAATGAATAATCATACATCATATTTGACTTGATTGTTTATAGTTTAAAGTTTGTAGTTAAAACAGAAACAGTTTCTATGATATGAATGCCCTTGCATTGTTCACCATGTAAGAACTTGTTTAGTCCCTGCAGTAGTGGAGTTATAGAAACCTGTGTAGCATATGTAAGGGAGATTTTGGTATCTACACAGAAGAAAGAGAAATGTAGATAAGAAGGAGAAATTTAGTTTGCTGCCTACTGTGCCCTATAAAGGAGTATAAGATGAAGATATGAGTTTACAATTTTAGATTGATTATAAATTTATTAAAGCCTCTAAGAATATTTTTATGGGAAAGAATCCTAGCTAACTGTGGCACTAGGTGACCTGTATTTCACCCTGAGCTGATAGACTCCATAGTCGCTGCTACGTACTGCATGCTCCTACAGTCACATGCACTTCTTAGAAACTGCGTTGCATAGAAATGTAAAACACAATAGAGTCCATGTTGCTAGGAAAAGTTTCGGTCAAGGAACAGAAAAACAATCACCTGTCTAAAGCTTGACCAACCATGAATAGATTAGAAAGGAGAAAAAAGAAAAAAGCTTGCCTATACTTATTAACCAACTGCCTATACTAATGAATCATCAGAATAATAAAAAATAATCATATCCTCGTGCAAAATGGTATGTATAAAGCTGTTATCGGCACTTTGTCGAGAGACCACCTCCATCTGACTCCGTGTCCTGTCTCTCCATGCGCCGACTCCATCTCATCCTTTTGGGCTTCACCCCCGCCCCGCTGGAGCTGGACTCCGGCAATATTCTACTAAAGGATACAATGGCATAAATACACTCTCTTTATATCTGTCTGCTACACAACTACTTGAGGAAAATGCAAATATGTATTCTGCCTAATGAAGATTACTCATTGCTCTGTGTAAACATTTCAAATGTAAGAGAATTTATTTATTCACAATATTCAACAAGTGACGAATTTTCCCTTTAGCCAAATGAGCAATCAGAAAGAGATCACTGGCCTCAAGTAGAGAAACCTTGGGCTTCAATGGTAAGTTTGTCTTCTAACCTTTTTCTGCTGCAGAGTGGGAACCAGAAAAGGTGTCCTATAAGACAAAACGCCTCCAACACCTAGTGCAGAATAAAACCTTCCAGGGTCAAAGGTATACAGCACATAGTGAAATCTAATTTTCCTGCTCTCAACCAAATTCCTTCTCTCAGACCTTTGAGAAGTGAGGTCAAAATCAGATTGATTGGGTTATTAATGAGTTGTTTCCACAAGTAAGGTAGACTGAATTGTAGTATTGCTCTTTTCAATATTTCAAGGTGCTCAATGTGATTCCCCATTGACAGATTAAATATTTTCATTACAGAAATTATCCAATAATTAAATTGGCAAAAATTATGCCTAACTAAAGACCAGGATATTTGATCATTAATCAAATGAAAATTTAGAGTTTGCATCTGAATCTTTTTGGAAAGTGTGTCTTAAAATGTCAATCTACATTGCATTAGAGAGACAAAAAATCATTATCAATAAAAATCTAACCCTGAGTTCTTGACATTGGTATTTTAAAAAATTCTGCAAGTAGCCATAGTAACTACCATCAAAAATAGTAATAATAATGTAATGTTGACATAATTGTGAAATAGCTTACTAGATTTCCTTTGCTTATCACATCAAATTTAAAAAATTTCGAGAAATTATCATATCATATTGAAGGAAAAAAACAGGAACAAGGGTTTTCTCTAAGTTGCTGTTAAGAAATAAAACCATCCTGAGATCTCCAGAAACACTGAACCCTGCATTTCTATTGGGATGCAGAGTTAAGCCCTATGTGCACTGGGTTAAAGTTTCAACCAAGTTATTTACATCTTTGGGGAAAACTAAAACAGAGAATTGGAATAGAAATACATACTGGAGTGCAAGCAATCAGCTATGGGTAAGCCAGAAACAGGTGGTCTTTTTAAGAGTCCTGTTAATTTGAAAACGCTGACCAAAAACAAGCTCAGTTCCACTAAATATAGGTTGGCATGGCTCAAAAAATGGGATTTGTTGGAAATATGTTTTATCACAGCAAGATTTATCAGTAATGCTATGCGACCCTCACTACTGACATCCCGACATAAGAAGCTTGTTTCTAAACATAACACGCAAATTTGCTTTCTATGCCTTTTCCTTCATATGTGATATGATTGTGGGTTTAAAAAATACTTTTAATCTGTAATCTTTAGAATAGGTTGGAAGAAGTGGTAGAAGAGGGTTTATATTAATTACCCACATCCGCTCTTATGAGTTGGAAAGTGCATAATTTTTACATTCAGTTATAGAAAGTTTTAACTGTCATACAACTACTAAAGCACTGGGCAATTTATGTATATCAAGTTACTTCATAGCACTCTATAAATAATACAACTATTATGTTCGCTGAAATTCCTCCAGCCCCTTATGCAGTAACAACTTCATCTGAAAGTTTCCAGACACCGTGAGCCCTGGTCCAGGGATCAGAAAACCCAAGTTAGAATCCAGCTTTCCACAAATCTGTTGATCTCCCTCAGCTGCTCTGAGCCCAAGCTTTTTGCTATTGTGAGAATCACAGAAGAATAGGAGAGGCTATAGTCCAATCCAACCTATCTCCACTTCTCAGGTTGGCAGTTTCATTTTGAAGTTTATTTTGGTTGTTCGTTAGTCCTAAAGTCATTTAATTAAGCGAAGTTATTTTAAATGAAATGGGTTAGGGCAAAAAGCAAGAATCACTTGGTTATTCATTCAACAATATGCCTGAGGGCTTACTACCACCAGATACTCATAATAGCTCCCATCTATGGTGAGCACACTATTCGCCAGGTATAGGGTTAAATGCTTTTCAGTGTCTTTGCACCTGCAAAAATCCTATAAGGATATTATTATTATTATCCCCAAATTAAAACTTAAATTATGGACTCTGGAGCCAAACTGCCTGGGTCTAAATTCCTGCTTTGCCAGCTCAGTATGTGACAAATCACTTCTCTGGAACTCCATTTCCCCATTTGTAAAAAAGGAGTGTTGACAGCCCCTACCCATAGGGCTCTTGTAAGAGTGAGATTAACATGGTGCTCAATAAGTCACTGTCAGGAATCGGTGATTTAGATTAATCATTTTCCTCAAGCCTATACCACAGCTGGAGCTGCAGTTGGGATTCGAACACACTTCTGTTGGATTCCAAAGTCTGAGCTCTAAAGTGGTGAAAAGTTCCACACCCTCTCAAAATAAAAAAAATAAAAATAAATAATACAGTCTAAATCTAAAAAGTATCAAAGACGCTCACTGCCCAGGCATTTGAAACTGACCACTAGCTCTCCCTCCTTTCACCACCGGAGTCATTTCCAGAGTAGGTAATTCACAAGGATGGGACCGCTCTGCTTTAGGGGAGAACTGGCAGCTCCTGCAAGGGCAGGGCCGGTTGGTTGTGGCCCAGGCAGCCGCTGCCCTCTGCTCCCACCTACTTAGTCTGTTACCCGGACCGGCTCTTCCTGTTCCGAATCTCTTCTTCCAGTTGTACAAAACTTCCTGCAGCCAAAGCCCGTTCTCTGCTCTGTGACTGCCGGACAACAGACGTATGTTGGGAGTGGGGGAGTCGGATTTTGCCCGCCTACCCGCGCTGACTCAGCAGCTCGGCGGGGCGCGCTGATGGCCCGGCCTTTGGCGCGCACGTACTTTCCCCCGAGGGTAATTTAGCAGGCTTTTGATATCACCCTGGTATCGTTCAGATTACACTACTCTTTAGAAAAAAAATTTTTTTAAGATGTGTGCCCTGCTGACTGAGGAACTTTGACTGCGGTGGGTGCGGGTGGGGGGCTCAGACTGGAGGAGGGGGTGGCATTCATCGTCTGGCACCGCGAAGTGAGTTTGTGGAGTCGAGTTGGCGGCAGTGAGCGCCCAGTCATCTGGGAGACCCCGAGGGTTCTGGGCGATGGGCCTACCCCTCCTTGGCTTCCTTCCCCAACCCCTCGCTTCCGCGGAATCAGAAACCAGCGGGATCCCCGGGACCGCCGACCCCCGGGCAGCCTAGCGGGGTGGGGCGGTCCCGGGCACCGCCTCCCTCCTTACCTTCTCTCCCCGTGAAGCACGTAAGAGCTGCGGAAGAAGCCCAAGAGCTCGTTCTCGATCAGGGCGTTGTAGATGATCTTCAGGTTGTAATTCCTCTGCGCGTCCAAGGTCCTATTCAGCACCACCACCAAAACCTGGGTTTGCGGGTAGAGGAAAAAGCCGGCCACCGGGACAGCCCCGGCCACCCGGTCCTCGGCCACTTGCACCTTCTCGACCGCTACCCGGGAGGCGTGCAGCACGACGTAGCGGGTGGCGTTCCGGCACGCGATCTCCACGTTGACCTCCCCGGAGAAGGTGAAGTTTTCCATGAAGGCGGTGAGCATCAGATTGTAGTGCAGCGGCTTGAGGTAGCCCGACAGGCGCAGCCGGGTCCACGGCTGCCGCTGCTCCCGCTCCTCCTCCGACGGCGGCTGGGCGGACGGGGTCCCAGGGGTGGCCTCCCCGCCTGCCTCGGGCTGCAAGGAGTCGCCGCCAGCGTGGTGGTTCCGCGGGGCGGAACCCGGAAGGCTCCCGTTACCGCCGCGCGCTGGGAAGCCGGCGGGGCCGCCGTCGGCGCCCGGCGCTGCGCTTGCCCCACACTCGTCGAAGCGCAAGCTGAGCAGCACCGCGAGCATGGTGACCGCGAGCAACGCCACGATGGACACAGCGAAGGCCAACACGAGCCGCTTGTGCACAGTGATGTGGCGCTCGGTGGTGCGGGGTCGCACACCCACGGAATCCGCCCACGGGTCCGAGAGCCCCCTGCCGCCGGTCCGGAGCGCGGCGTCGTTCTCCCCCATCGTGGCCGAGAAGGGTGAGCTGCTCTTCTCAGCCCCCTCCTCCTCCTCCTTCTTCTTCTTCCTCCTCTTCTTTTTCTTCTTCTTCTTTTTCTTCTCCTCCTCTTGCTCCCCCCGCTCGCCGTCCAGGGCCATCACACTGCCTCCTCCTCCTCCCCCGCCCCCTCGGGCACCCCCCGCGGGCGGGCCACCCGGGCCGCCGCCGGCACAGGCATCAGAGAGCGCACGCGGGCCGAGGGCGCGACTTCAGCTGGGACCCTGGGGATGCTGGCCAGGGTTCTTTAAGACGGGTTCTTTCCGCAGGTGACAGCAGCCTCAGCGCTCCCCATCAGCCCCGCCTCTCTCCGGACACCCGCGGCCGCGGCGAGGGGCGGCGAGCTCTGGGACGCGCCCAACTTGGAGAGCGTCTCGCTCGCCCCACCGCGCGCACTTCCCCCGCGGGCGGCGGGCAGCGGGCGCCCGGGCACAGGCTGCCGCCGCCCCTGTGCTCTTACGGCTCTCGGCTCGCCCTCCCCGGCGCCGAGCTCTCGCCTGGCTTCCGCGGGAGCCTTCCAGCGGGTCCTCGGCTGGGAAGAACGAGGAGCGGCAGAGAGGGAAGTTAGGGCTTCCGCTTTCTCTCCCCACTCCAGCGGCGGCGTTCAGTCCTCCGGGTGGGATGTGCTCGCAGCAGCGGCGGCGGCGGCGGCAGCCGCGGAGGCGTCCGCGCCATGCACTCCTCGGCGGCGGACAGGAGGATGGTCGGGAAGGAAGAAACCGGGGAGAGCCGGCGGGTGAGGTCCCAGGGCCGCAGAGCTGCGCCGGGAGTCTCTCCAGGAGAAGCCTCCTCCTCCTCCCCGGACACTTTAAGCAGCGGTGGCGGCACACGGCGTGAGGCTGCAGACCGGACAGTGAGGCTTCTTCATTCCGACGTTGCTCTGACCTCCGGAGAAGACAAGTGAGCAAGAAGTGTCTGGCCGAACCGTCCCCGTCAGGTAGACGAAGCTTGGGGTTTGCTCTGAATCCCAGTGGGGAGAGGCCGGGGCGCGTGTGTGCGAGTGCGTGTGCCTCTGTGTGCGCGTGTGAGTGTGCACAGGCTCCAGATCTAGATTGCCAAGGCTGCTCTGGCTGCTTTCAGGGACTGAAACTCCCCGAGAACGGCAAAGCAGAGAGTGAGAGCGCGCGAGGAGACCGGGAAGGCGGGAGGGAGGGGAGCGGCTGAGCGGCAGAGACAGGCACTGGGAGATTAGAGAGCTTTTCTCCGCTCTGTCACACCAGACACCCACAGCCACAGAGGGGGTTGCTGAGCCGCCTGCAAGAAGTACCTTGTAAATCTTCAGCGCCGTCAGCCCTGCAGTCGCCCCTCTTCCCGACTCCTTAGCCCCACCGCGCCTCCCCAGAGGGAGAGCTGGAGCCCTTGGCTGTTAACACCTAGAGCAAAAGAAGATCCTGCTGGCAAGACGTGCCAGTGTCAGATTTCACATCAAGCTCGCCTGAGGATTTGGAGGACTGTATGTAAATCGAAATCGATTCTCCAAAGCCTGACCATATATTATTACACTGAGTGAGGTGTTCAGGTGTGCAGTACTATAAAATAAGGGTTAGCGTTAGATCTTCCGGAAGCACAGGCTAAACAAAACACGTTTTTCCAATCGAATAATTTCTATGTTTAGATTGGGGGAAATATTAAAATATAATGCCTACAATGTAACATTCAGGATCAAAAACCTGAGACTGAGAAAATCTGGGGAAGTGAGCCCCATCACTTTAAACTTACCACACCAGTAAACAAATATAGCCCGTGATTGGTCAGTTTTTCACTTTACAGAGCCAGTTTCTTACTTTTGCAGTTTTCAGTATAGTCATGAAAATTATTTAAACTTTTTTAAAACAGCCAATAGAAGGTGTTTGCTGACAGCAGGAGCATCAAAACAGGTTCATAATCATTGGCTGGTTATGGACTCTTGTCTAAGTTTGTAGAAGTTTCAAATGATAGTGCAGAGTGTGTGAGTTTATAGGATATGCAACCCTGAGAATCTGTGTGAAGAGCTCTAATTGGAACACTATTCAGAAAATGCCCACCCCAAAGGTAACAGCTAAGAGGCTGGAGTCTCTAGTGTTTGATAAAGTATGATGGCCTTCACAGGCAATAAAAAAAAAGCTTTTTTTAAGTAAAAACATGAGATCACTTTTTCATGTGTTTCTTTAACATTTTCAAATCCTGAAGACATTTAAAAAACCATGTCCATAATTATTTTTCTTACAAAAAGGAATGTTAATGATACTGGTTTTGGGAGTCCTGAAAACATACAATTAAAATATTGTGTCTGGCTTTAAAAGCATGACCAAAGAACTTTAGCCCAACAACCACTGAAAACACAGCCCTGCTCAGTGAAACTCTTTTTCATTTATCCCCAGATGGGATGCACTCCCAGTGCCATACATTCTAAATGTCCATTTGAATCCTTTTTAAATGATGATGAAAAGAAGTGCCAGGATGGGTTTTTTTTAAGCATGTTGTATGTGGGCCGTTAGCAACAGACCAAAGGAAATGCCACATTATGTTCAAATTACTTTTTCTGCTCTGTTTTTTAAGTCTGTGCTTTTATTGTCCATATGTATCTGGCTGTATGCATTTTAAGAGTTGAGGAGCTGGGATTCAGTGTTTGTTTTCAGCATCAGGGAATATAGTACAGGCAGGCAAAAAGAGATGCGTTGATGCTCAGCAGGTCACCAGATTTCTCTGACCTCAGGGTACTAATTTGGCAATTCAGGATTACTGATCTAAAGTCTGTGATTTCAACTCCTTTGGGTTGTCAGACAGATCTGGATCCACCCTCAGAAGTCTTAGAACCACTACCTAAAATGAAGAGGTCACCCACTATGGGATCTTTAAAACCTTTCTTTAAAACAGTATTAGTTGAGAAAAGATTCAAAGGAGACCTTTTCTTTCTTCTTTGTGTTTTATCAGTGTGTTTAAATACTTTTGGAAATTATTTCAAAGCAACTCTGAAATATTTTGGAATTAGTATGTTTACCTAGCTTAAAAATCTCTACTGATTGTGATTAAATTTGTGGATGGATTATTTTTGAGACTCAAATGGAGTGGACACAGCTTATTAGCATGGAAGGGACACAACTTACTAAAACATTGATTCTCCTAAAATGTAACTTTATCCAATAAACCAGTATCAAGGTCAGGTGGGTAAATATTTCTTCCTCTAGGAAGAAGTTACAGAAGGGTCCCCGAGTTTTTCTTTTTTCATTTTCTGGAAGTATATAGCACCCTTCCCCTGAGAAGCAAGCACTTTGGTAAAATAGTTTTTTAATATTATTTTCTTAGAGAATGTCCATTCTACCCTCAAACCAAAAAAGAAAGGCAAAATTTCAGGTTGTGAACCTAACAAAAATACTACGGAGATTACTCACTCGCATTCCAATAAAGTAGTTGCCTTCAGTGTGTGAATCACTAAATTGGAGATGGTTTTAACTTTGCCAGGGCTAGAGCCATGCAGGGGAGTAAGACTTTCCAGAGAGCCCATTGCTTCTCTCAAAAACATATTTATTGGGAGAACTTTATAATTATTTTCTTTAACTAATAAATGTCTTTAAGGCTATTTGGTGGCCATATTTGATTTAGGGGCTTATCAAAGTAAAAAGTCTGAAGGTTTAATATACTTAGGGCCAAACAAAGTTATTTTTAATTAAATCTACACCTTGGTCCTGTAAATAGTCAAAATGCACTTATCATCAGTGATAGCAGGGACTTCGGGGGCTTTACTCCTTCAGTGCTTACATTTGAACTGGTTTTTTGTCTGTTCACTCTGGTTTGTATGTACAGGCACAACGTAAGTGTACTTACATCCTCAGCCCCTTCAAGTGTGAGTAGCATTTCATTTCCAGAAGTAGCCGGGCTCAGTCGAAGGACCTAGATCCTGATCTGCTCTCCCCTCCCTCCATTATCCTAAGCTAGTTTCTCAAGGGACTCAATTTCTTGATGTGTTTATGTACAGGAGTTAGACTAGGTCACCTCAGAGGACTTTTCCAGTTCTCAAATTCTATGAAAGAAATTCTGAAGCCTACACTTATCTCTTTATGCTTTATGACTAGTCTTTTTATACACTAGCAGTTATGCTCTCAAAGGATTTTTAATTAATCTTCTGCACTGAGAAGGAAAAAATATCCACTAAAACTAAAAGTTTAATGGGTAAAGAGACTTTACAAGAATACACTGTACTAGCAACAGTGTGGTGGGGGTGAGAAGCAACCCCTGGTACTGTGGCAGTGAAAATTGCACTGATGTGTTTTATGAGAAGGATGTGTTCCTGAAGACCTCACACAACTGGAGACCAACGCTTACAGATGAATGGCGGGAATCTGTTTACCAGCTGGAGTGGTGCCGCCATGTGGCAATAATAAAACAGCCATTTGAAATTTGAGATTGCAATAATTTGTTGAGATTTATAATTTGGGGGAACTCACATTATTGTAAACTTCATCAGTAATTTTATATTGCATAGTTTCAAATGTTCCTACCGTTTAACCCCTGTGCCATCAATATCCTTGAGGGGTTCATATAAGAAACAGCCTTCTAGATAGAATATTCCTCAAGATCTTCAGGATAGAAAGAGGAGAAATGTTGAAAATTAGCCATAATTGAGACAGTGCAATTTCATGATGCTGTCATTTACCAACTACAATTAGCATCTTGGTTTAACTGTTACTTATCTGACTTCTCATTTAAAAAGATCAACCTGAATGGAAATTATGTCTAAATTTGACTACATCTTTTTTTCTCACACAAGAATATATGAAATTATAAAGATGTTTTAAAAATAAAACATTCCATAACTTATTCATATATTACTACATGTTATTAGTCTGGGGAAAGTCTCATAAAATTTTGCTTATTCCAAACAGAATAAGTCTCACAGGATAAAAAGAGCCTTTCCAGATGGCAACTATAAGGAAAAGTATTATATCCAGAAAGGAGAGAATTAGGATCTCAAGAAAGTTGGTTTGTTACTGGGGCTTCTAATTCTTAGTTAAAACTCTTCAGTGTTCACTGTGGGCTGTTTGCTTTATGAGCTCAGGAAGAAACCTCCATTAAAAGGCAAAGAATGTATCCTGGAAGTGTTTACAATGTATTCATGAAACCTGCAAACATCATATACACCAAATTCTACAAGCAGAATAGAAATGGGGTAACTTTACAGAGATATTTCTCATGAACTAGTCAATATAGCTCAAGTAATGGAAATAGTAAATGAACCAATGTAGTTTTTACCATGAATTTAAGTTGTTCAAATCCATGTTTTTAGACAAATATGGCAGAAAGCATTAATAATAATAACAATGATAACAGCTAAGAGTTTTCAAGGGCTTACCTTGTGAGAGGTATTTGTCTAAGCACTTTATGTTTTCTTAATCATGAACTTAACCCTA